ATTTTTAAAATATCACAAAGTTTTGTGTTCATATCAAAACTCAATAACTCCTCAAGTAAACGTAAGACCAAATAAAAATTGGTTCGTAAAGTTGATATGCATTTAATTTTTAAGAAAATAATTTTTTTTTTCTATCAGTCAGATTTTTTTTAAAGTTATAATTATCCTTGCCCTTTTTTATTACTTGATAACCCCGTTATTAAATAAAACTTGCTTTGAGAGATACCAAAAGAGTATAAAATCTGCTAAATCTGAAAACTAAAGTTTTCGGATTTAGCAAATTATAAACTCATTTGTTACCAATTTACATTATCGCAGTATATGACCTCACCCCAGCATATCAACAATATCGGGTTGAACTAGCGCATAAATTTTTGACCATCCTACAAGATGAATTAAATGTCGAACGACGTCATATTGTTGTGAATGAGAAGTGGGTTTACCACAGATCAATCGGGTGTAAACGCATCAATCGCGCTTGGATTCCAAAAGGTGAAGAAGTAGCGAAACGTGTCAGGAGATCCCAATTTGATGCAAAAAGTATGGTGATTTGCGCTATCTCATTTAATGGCAAGGCCTATTTTGAAGTAATTCCAAATTTTGGTCAATTCAGAAGTGTACATGCTTTTCCTATCGAATATGCGTTCTAATTTTATCAACAAAGGCTCAAAAAAAGTAACATAGAACACAATGCTCCTTAAGCACGATAATGCCAGCTCACATGTGTCTGATACAGAGGCACTGATGTGCATTAAAAAATTGAATCCTTTGTTTCAACCTAAATTTGTTTTAACTAATTATTCCAATGAAGAGATAAACTCATTAGAATATGTGTTTCCAGGTAAGAATTTTTAGAATATGCGGTTGCATGAACTGTTTTTGGTGCTTTTTTATTTAAAGTATTGTATTATTTATCTTTAAATTGAGATTTGCCATATCGCTTTATTTAGGATCAAATATCTTAATTTGTGACTTTCACAGAGAACAGGCTTGGGAAAGATGGTTGTCAAAAATCTCTAACGGATGTTCCACAGTAAAAGAAGTAGTGAAGTTAAAACTTCGTCAAATTGCTAATTCAAAAACAGAAGAGATTTGCATAAATGCTGTAAATTCTTTCAAAGAGTCAGAATAGTGGAAAAATCACCCAAAACTTCGAGAGTACTTAAAAAAACACTTGGTTATGCAACCAAAAGGTTAGTAAAATGTTAATAAAAAATGACATCATTTTTGATTTTATTCGTTTTGAATATCGTTCCTTAGAATTTATTCTACATGTTATTAGTTTACATGTTATTAAATGTCAACACAAATAATGGTACTGAAAAACAGAACCAATCTCTAAAATACAGCTTTTTGGAAAAAAAGAAAAACTCTTCTCTCACAGCTATGCTAAGTGTTTGCATTGATGAAATCCTTCCTCATAACTATAACAAGTTAGTCATTTTTCCTTAGACCACTACTTTTTAGTTATATATTTAAAGTTACGTTGATATTATATAATTAATAACCGAGTCTAATATCACAAATTAAAACAACAGCATTAAATATCATTGTAAGTTATTATATTTAAAAAAGCATAATGATACTATAAATAGGACTACTAGGGTGGTCCATTTTAACATATAATTTTTTTTTTTTTTAAATTAATGAGGCATGTTAACTTATTACTTTCTTTTGGTCTAAAAATTAATTGTGCAAAGTTTCAGGTTGAAAAAAATATTCAGGGGTTGCTCAAGCATATCAAAGTCTAGAATATTTTATGGTTTTGCCAAAAAAGTTTTCAAAACTAGAGTTTTTTTGCAGACTGTGTATTTTTTGTTGTGTTTAATCATTGTGTTTTATTATCAATTTCATTCAGTAGATGTCAAAACTATACTTAGAATACTTCTAGAATAATTATTACATACAACTTTAAACACCCTTATTTGGTAATATTATAATTATTAATTACTGAATTAACTTTTTGAATTAACATTTCTTCATTCATTTTAATAGAATTTGTTTGCATAATTTATTGCAGGTCAAATAATTTAAAATAAAAAATGGTTACTGCTGCAATAAATATTTATAAAAAAAGCAAAGCAAAAAGCAAAGATTTGTATCAATTTAAGCATAGACTTGTATCAATTGTTTAATATTATAAACGGTAATTATGTTATAGAATAATTAAAAGTATAATTAATGTTATAGAATAATTAAAAGTTATTAATTACTTTTGTAAAACTAAGTTATTGAATAATTTACTTTTAAAAAACTAAAATATTAAATTATTACTTTTGTAAAACTAATTTATTGATTAATTTACTTTTATTAAACTAATTTACCTGGAAAAGTTCTCATGTTCATACCTTTTTTTTGAACATGGCCCTCCTCAAATTCGTAATCGGAGATCAAAGTGATCAACTCCTTCCAAGAAATTGAAAATGACTCCAGAGTTGGTTTGTGCATTGGACCGTAGCAAATTTCCAACCAACGTGCTGTTCACATTTTGAATGCCTCAGCAGCAACAACTCTTAGCAACAGATCAATCTCCATGAGCTCAGTTTGACGTGCTAGGATACATAGCAGGGCCATCACAGCAGCCACTGTTAGGGATTCCTTTATCAATGAAGTTCAACAGAAGGATACCTTTTTAGTATTACACTGGGATGGCAAGTTGCTCCCAGACTGTACAGGAAATGGAGATGGCTTAAAGGTGGATTGTTTGCCAATTCTTGTTTCAAGCCCAGATATTGAATTCAAGAAACTGCTGACAATAATAAAGTTATCATCGAGTACTGGAGATGCCATGGCTAATGCAACTGTCAGGATTGTTCGAGAGTGGAAACTCAAAGGAAGAATCGAAGCCCTTTTCTTTGACACAACATCATCCAACACTGGAATCCATGCTGGTTGGTGCCAATTAATAGAGGTAAAATTAAGCCGACTTCTGGTTCATCATGCATGCAGACATCACATTAGGGAGCTGATTTTGGTTAAAGCCTTCAAATCAGTTATGCCTGCATCATCTGGACCATATATTCAGCTGTTCGAACGCTTTTGAGAACAATGATCCTTCATCTCAAAAGATGAGTTAAGTGCTTTTAAGGATCCGAGAGTAAACGAGCATAAAGATTGGAATGATGCTACCATAACCTCCATGCAGTCTAGCTTGGCTCAAAAGAGTATACATGGTGATGGCTATGCCGAACTGTGTCAGTTGTCATTGTATTTTCTGATGGGAGAATTATGTGCTCCAATCAGGAAGCCTGGTGCATACCATCACACCAGGTGGATGGCCAAAGCTATCTATGTGATGAAAATCTTGTTCTGGAAGCAAATGAAAGTGAAGTGTCTCTCTTCATTATCTTGATTTACTCCAGGGTCTGGATAGAGGCTCAGGAAGCTTGGGAGGCGGCCGTCAATGATAAGGCTCTTTTAAATGATTTTGGTCAGCTACAACAATGTAAATGAGAAGATTGCGAAACCCACATTAACAACTTTCCTATGCCATCTATGGTATCTAGGTGGTGACCTTGTTAGCTTTTCACTTTTTTTCAACTGTCTACTGATAAAAAAAAAGTCTACTGATGAAAAAAAAGATATTGTTAGAGAAATGAAGAAGGAGAAGAATATGGATCGAATTAAGTGGGTTCCAAAAAAACGACGGTGAACCTCAGAGATCTTGCTTCTTCCGCATCCTTGCGATTTTTAAAATCTTTCAGAATTAAATAAAACCTTCTTGGAGTGACCTGACCAATCGGATGTTGATGAAAGTTTTCAGTAAGGGCACAGAAAGCTTGAGAAACTGAAAATTGTAAATGATGAGGCAGAGAGCGGAGTTGCAATGATTGTCACTTTCAATGATTCTTTGACAAGGGACGAAGAGACAAAACAAGCGCTACTACAAGGACCACCCTAAGAACTACCACTCCCACCTCCCCACCCAATACATGTTATATATTAAAGAATGTATTGTATTAAAGAATGGTTTAAAAGTACAACAATATTTAAACAAAGATTTTTTTTTAGTTAAAAATAATATAAAAATAAATAATAAATGTATATCAAGAAGTTAATTAAGTTTTTTTAGTTAAAGTGGGCTTGTATAATTTGCTGTGCAACTAAATTTCATAAAATATGCATACAATTTACAGACTAATTTAATTTGAACACAATATGTGTTCTGGATTGGTATTCTCATTTATCTATTAGTGTAGCATGGTTTGCAATACTTTCTTTTAGTTATGCTGATAAAAACAGAAGAGCCCACTCATCTTATTGAAAGTATAATAGTAAGATTCCAGTATATTTAATAAACCACCCTTAACCTTTAGTAAAGCATTGCATGAACATTATAGATAAGCTACAAGGTTTAGACTTAGAGGGAATTAATGCTGTTACAGATAGACTGTTCAATGTTGCATCATTTCAGTCAAATAGTAGAGAAATTTACCAATGTTTTCTTGGTGATGCAAAACACTTGCCAAGCTGTTCCTGCCCTTCTTGGTTTAGTAGCATATATCCATGCAAACATATTTTTGCAGTTTTCAGTAAAGAAAATCTTTCTTGATCTGATTTTGATCCATCTTATGGCAATTCTCCATATTTCATCTTAGATCCATTGTTGAATGAAAATGATTACTCAACTTCATTTTATTGTCAAGATTTACCTGAGCCTGTTAATTTATCTTTTTAAAAAATCCTCTTGATAATGCCAAAGTAGTGAGTGACAGCAGTGAGTTATTATTCTTCGGCCAGACCCTAAACCTGACATTTGGAAAAAGTCTGTTACAAATGCTCCTAATCTTGTTAATACTCCAGTTCAACGGAAAAGAAAAATAACCAGAAGAGTAGGTGTAAAGTATGATGCTAAAAAAGCAGCTTCAAATATAAGTTTGATACCAAACATACAAAATGGTTCTTGCTTTTCTGAGATTGTTACAAATCATGTGATTAGTGATAGTTGTGAAATGTTTGATGTTTCAACAGAGTCATTTAAACTTGAAGAAGAAATATCATTCAAAGTCTGAAATCCTCTTTCATTGGAAATTCGGAAAGAATTGATATAGAAAAAAGGAAAATGCTTAATGACAATGCTATTCACTTTTTTCAACGATTAATATCGATTCAGTTAAATGTTGATGTTGGTTTGCAGGATCCTATTAAAGGAAAAGTTATTTCTTTTGATATCTATCAGAGCATTCTGTTTGTACAAATCCTCCATGATGGAAATTTACACTGGATTTGTGTTACCACATATGATTGCAAGCCTGGTGAGGTATACATTTTTGATAGCCTTTTCCATGGTTCAATAAGTATTGAAACAAAAAGGCAAATATGCTCTATTTTACATTGTCAAAAAAAAAACTTGTGATAAAGGTTTTACCAACTCAACAGCAAACTAACGGTGTAGATTGTGGTCTGTATTCTATTGCCTGGGCACGCCAGATACTTGAAACAAAGTGTATTCCATTAGTTAGTTTAATGTTTGAACAAAGTGCAATGAGGAATCATCTTCTAAAGTGTTTGCTAAACAACCGATTAGATGTCTTCCCAACTGCCATTAATCCTTCAATATCTAAAAGATGCCTAGCAAAGACTTTTTATCTTCTTTTACTCATGTAGAATGTTTTGGACCCTAGAAGATGAGCACATTTTTAACAGGTACATTATTGAATATTTTTTTGACAAAACTGAATTGTATTCTAGTATATACTTTTAAGTTTTAAAGTTATAGGCTATAATTATTTTATAAATATCTTTACCATAACAGAACAGATTGCTAATTAAAAAGAAACAAAACACAATAATAAGAGATCCGCTTTATATTTTAATTGTTCATTTACATTTAAAATATATACTGCATCTTTTTTTTACTTTTTTTTTATTTTATAAAAAATTATAAATCAAAATCTCTTTTTTTATTATAAATTTATGATATGATCTTTAATGCATATTTTTAGGCAAATGCCTGAATGCAGTACTTGTTGTAAATGGTTTCATCGGGAGTGTGAGAAAATCCCACCAACTGCATATGAGAAGGATGATGTAATCTGGAACCGTCATGAGTGCCACAGGCAAGCATCGCAAAGATAAAGATTTGTTTGTTAGTTGATATATTTTTATACTATTTAAGGTAATTTTTATACCAGCCAGTTGTTCTATCACTTAGTTTCATTACTAGCAATTCATTTATAACAATTCACATGTTATGCATATAGCTAAGTTTTGGTTCTAGCAACCGATCTTTTATTTTTTTGTTGCTAAAAAACAAATAAAGTTTTTTTTAATATTTTATTTTAACTGGTTTTTAGGTAGATTATTTTTCGGTATCTTTTTATTATTATCTCACTATTTTTTTAATATTCAAGACATAAAAAAAAATGTTTTTTTGTTGTAAGTAATGTTATTGCAAACAAAAGCCTTATAATATAAAAAAAATTTGACTCAAAATTTTGAAAAACATTTCCTTTTAAAAAGAATTTTTTTTTGGTAAAATTAATGCCTCGATAATTTTCCTATAAAAAGTTAATTGTGGATTTGGGATCATTTGATAATGTGTTTATTTGTGTTTTCTTACTATTGTATCACTAAGTATTTATAAGTAAGCTCAACACCTTTATACGGGTTTGTTTGTATAAGAATTTTTTTAATTCATTACAGATCAACGCCACCTGGTAACATTTACAGCTCAAAATCAATTTTTGGAGAAAATATTTGAAGAAAATAATGAAGAAAGTAACTATAAAATGTGTACTTTCAGTGTAAGTTATTATATGTATATTTTTTACTGTATTGACATTTAAAGGATGCACAAGCCACCTCAGTCAGCTTTGGTGGGGTGTTAACTCATCTGTAAGTTTTTTTTTTTAATGTCTGTTTGTGTTTTGTTTAAACTAATGGCACAGAGTTAACTCAGCCATAAATTACTTAATGTCTGCTTGTGTTCTGTTTGAACCTCTGGCGCGGTGTTAACTCACCCGTAAGTTACTTTATGTCTTTTTGTGCTCTGTTTGAGCCTCTGGCGCGGTGTTAACTCACCCGTAAGTTACTTTATGTCTGTTTGTGTTATCTATAATTATATGGAATAGTGTTAACTCAGCCGTCAGTTATTTTATGTATATATGTGTTCTATATGATTGTGTATATTATCTGGTGTAGTGTTAGTTTAGTGATTAACTAGTGAATACAACAATATAATAGATTGTTTACCCTAACTTACATTTTTCTTCTAGATAAAATGTTTTTCTAATGAATATTTAAAATCTCCTAAGTAATGTGATGGAGTACAGAAGTAACTTACTCTAGCAATGCAGTTCTTGTTGCTGAAAAAGGAACTTAATTTTTTTTTATTTATATTTTTTTTTAACTGAAATTTTAGGTTGATTTTTTGTGCAACTAAAATAATATTCATGGGGCAAAATAAGCAACTTGCACATTTTCATTTTTGGAATAGAAAATTACTTTTTAAAACTATGGACTACTTTAATTAAAACTATTACTGAACTATTTAAAGTGCATTTTTGAACATAAGAAGTGCGGATATATACAACATATACAACATTCTGATTTAGGTGCTCTCCGTGGTACACTATAAATAAAATAAGAATACATTAAAGTATATTCAATAATATGTATATAAATAAATAGATAGAGATTGTTTTTTTTTCAACCTCTTTAACCACTATAACAGTTGAAAGTTACTGGAAGAGAAAAGATGAAGTTTGTAGATCCAGATAACGATTGACAGATGACTTAAAAGAGTATATAATATGAATCAGGATAAGAAGACGATGAAGGAAGTGAGTTCCAAAGAGCTGATGTTCGAGGAAAAAAAATAGAGGAATACGAGTTTTTGGAGCACTTAAGATAAGTCACATAAAAAGAATGAGACTTAAGAGACGAGAATGAGACAATTAAAACACAAGAATGATAGCAAGTGGCACAAGGTGCGCTAGCTCTTTAGAAAAGTGCCCGTTATAGTATTTGTAGAAAAGAGAAAGAGAGGCAACATGATGATGTGACAATGGTTGGAGGTTGGCTGCAAGAGCATCCAATTAAGTTTATAATACGTTTTTGTACCTTGTATAAAAGGGAAAGGGGATTGTTAAAAGATCTGCTCCCAATATGGTAACAGTATTCCATTCAGGGACGGATTTGAGATAGAGAATAAAATCTGGAGTAGATAGAGAATAGAATCTGGAGTAAGAAAATGTCTCGATAAAGTGATGCAGCCTTAGAAGATGTTAATTTTGCAATGGATTTGATATACGATTTCCAGGAAAGATCATAATCGTTAAGCCTAAAAGATGAAGAGTACTCATCTAGTATGTTACTGTTCATAAATATAGGAAGATCTAAATTATTGCAATAAAGATTGGCTAAAAAAAATTGAGTTTTATCTGAATTAAAGTTCATCAGCCACTGTTAGCCCCATGTTGTAGCAAAAGTGATATCAGGGGTGTGGAGTCGTAAAAAAAAAGTAACGACTCCGACTCCAGTTGTTAAAATTTTTTGAGTACAACTCCGACTCCGACTCCAAAGTAAAAATTTTTGAAAAATTCTTGGAATTCTTTAAAAAATATTGCACGATAAGTTGACTTTTTTTTTGTGACAAATTTATGCAACGTTCTTTGAGGTTTAGTATGAACATAAGGTTAATTGAATGTTTTGTACATACACGTGCAATACCAAGAAATATTACTATCGGAGTCAGAGTCGCGATATTTTTTAGCAACTCCGACTCCACTAAAATTGTCGTAACTCCGCAACTCCGACTCCACAGCCCTGAGTGATATATATATATATATATATATATACATATATATATATATATATATATATATATATATATATATATATATATATATATATATATATATATATATATATATATATATGTATATATATATATATATATATATATATATATATATATATATATATATATATATATATATATATATATATATATATATATATATATATATATCACTCAGGGCTGTGGAGTCGGAGTCGGTATGTGCAAACATACATACATATATACATACATACATTTTGAGAATTCCACATACATACGCACACTTTGAGAATTCCAGCTTCAAATATATATGTATTTCGTAAGAGATTATAAGATTTCATGTTAGGTCAGTAGCAGAATCAGAAAAGATGTAAGATAGAGGATTTTTAACACTATTGTGGTAACTAAGTTATGTTTAAGCTATAAATATTGTTAGCCCTAAGGTGTATAAGAAAAGACATAATTAAAGATTGATTAAATTCATAACTAGATTCTTAAACCTTAGAAAGTGATTCTTTTTGTTTCTTAATAATAGTTGAACAAGGAAAGAGCAGTCTAATCATGAGGCACATCCAAAAAGCTATATTTTTCAAAAAAAAAGTTTTTAATTCACGACATTCTTTAAAAATGTGATTTAAATATTTCAAAATATATTATTTTATTGTAGTCTTTCTTTTTAATGTAGAACTTTTTGTTATTTCAAAAAAATGAAAATGTGAAAGAAAAGTTTGCTAATTGATTGCTAATTTTCTGTCATATACTTTCAATCGTTCTGCATTAAAAATCGTACATGTGAGTAGGAAGGAACCTTGACGTGGTTCATGTGCTTTAAAACAAATACCTTTCAGACGGATACTCTGGGACCTTACAATGTGGGTTAAGGAACATTTTATGCTTGCTTTTCTTCGTATCTTATTTTTTTTTAGATAAAATTCTTTTGATGGCATTGTGGATGTCGAGAGATAAAAGTACTGTTTTAAACATATGTTATTTGAAGCAAATAAAAAAAAATAGTGCATATCTCAACTTAAGTCTCAAAAATGCTTAAACTTTTCGGACTTAGTAAGCCATGGTAGTTTTAGCCTGATTAGTATACCAATTACCTCGAACAAAAAGTTTTATTTTAATAATTGTTTCATGTTTCGCAGTTGTTTTTCCAACTTAGAGTTTTTCATATCGTACTCTATTTAAATTTATTTTTAGAAAACAATAGAATCAATGCTTATGAAGACACTAAAATGTGATATTGAACGTTATAAAGAACTTTTTATAAGTTTTTTTTTTTATTGGAGTGTATTTTTATTTACGTATAATTTATATTACGATATGTGTGACTTATGAATTGTGTCACGAAAATAACTATAATTAAAAAAAACGACAGTACTAGTACCTTATGTGTGATTTGCTTTTTTGTTTTGGCTAGACTTATATTTTATTTTTTCTTTGAAAAATTCTTTTAAAACTATAAAAAAAATTTTTTTTGTTTAAAAATAAGAAATTTTGTATTAACTGCATAAAAAACTGCTTTAACGATTTCTCTTATAATTTGTCCACTAACTTTGTATTAAAAACGGAAACATACACTGATTATATTGTTTTGTATTGTCCCAGCAAACATTCGGTCTGAAATAGACGTCTTTAATGCGTATTAAAAAACGTCTAATTCGTTTAAAAGACATTAAAACGTCTTTTTAAGACCAAATGTTTGCTTGGGTATTGTTAGCTAGCTGTTTTATAGAAAACAGCGTCCCCAAAGCTAACATTGTTTTTTTTTGTTTTTTTGTTTTTCAAATTCTGTTAACTATTACATAATTAATTGATAAGAAATTTCAAGAAAATTGTGGATCTTGCAACACTAAAAAGTACGCAAATGAATTTCCAAAGTAGGTAACATTTTTGAAAAATTTTGAGTTTTATCACAACAAATGAAAGCAGCGTATTCAACCTAACGAAATGTTTCAAAATGATCTGATAATTCGATCCAAATATCGACACTAAATTATGCTGTCGCAAATCTTTACTACGTTAGCATAAATATTTATTAATTTAAATTTTTATTAATAAATAATTATTTGGATCGTGCAGATTTATTCAGCAGCTATTCTGAATAGACAACAACTTGTATTCTATGTAAAGTTAAAATAAGCAAGAGAATCTAATAATTCTGGTCAAAAATTGTTTCTTACAACTCCACTTCTCAATCACGTAAAAAAAAAAAAATCATTTTTAATTGTATGAAAAGAAAATAAAATTACTTTTTAACTCTACGCGATTATTCGATAAGTAGCATGTCGATTGTAAAGAAAATGTGAATCGAAAAGAAAATGACAGAGCAAATGTCTATAGACAATTTCGGCGTGCTGCATAACTTCGATAGACCGAAGTTATGTCGTTGCTTTTTTATTCCATATCTAATGTGAATTTCTATTAAAGAATTTGTTTAACGTACATGATATAGGGTATTAATGATATAAAGTCACAACAAATGCATAAAACATTTTTTACATCATCTGCATTTTTAGAGAGATTGTTGTCTGAATAAAGGAACATTTATAAGAAAAAGCGACCAATTCTGTTACTTTAACGCGGAGAAACGCGTTGAGATAATACAGTTTATACAAAGTAATGCAAATACATTCATAACAGTTTATACATAGTAATGCAAATAAGTTCATAAATGAGTGATGAAATCTGTATTTCTTGAGCGCAGAAAATGTAAATAAACTTATAAGTGATAAAATCTATAATTCTTGTGCATCGTTAATTCTTATTTATTTGAATTATATAACTTGAACACAATTTCTTCGAATCTAGTAACATTAGATTGTTTTAAAAAATTTACACTTTAGAATTTGCGTTCTAGGTTCTCTCATTCTGTTAATCACGAAATGGTTGTATCAAGTCTAAACTGTGTATCTTAAAGACTGCGGCTTAAAATAAATTTTTAATTTATTTTTTTATTTAATTAATTTTACTTTAAATATTTTTACTAATAGCTTTTTTTATTATTATTTATCAACATGAGATATCCGGATTATTTTATTATTCGGAAGAATACAGGAGACCGGATAATATACAAATCTGGCTGGATACCCTATCTGGTAGACTTCTATTTTTAAAGACTCACTCTCAATTTAAACTTACTTAATAGATCTTTTCAGTTTAGCTCAAATTTTAGGTTAAGTAGGAGTCAAAAGGCCGTCGCGAAGGAAACACTTAAGAAGAATCACTTTAAAAACCATTTTAAGAGCAAAAAAATATTTTTTATTAAAGTAACAAGAATATATTGTACAAGAAATAAAAAATAATAATAATTAACTAAGAAAATATATTTATTTGTAAAACTAAAAAAGTTTAATTATTGAATTTTTATGTCAAAAAAGTTTTATAAGTTCACTAAAAAGTTACACTAAACAAGAATCATAAAAAACACAAAAATATGAAAAATAAAAAAATCTTTAGTATTTTGTTGAATATCTTTAGGCATTTAGACAAGTTTTTTCTTTTATTCTTCTGTTCATCGATGACAATAGTTTTTTGGTATAAGAAGACGGTATTTTATTCCATGATTCTAGTGAGATATTTTTAAGCATATTAACATTTGTTATTCTGTTTCCTGACTTGTCTTTTAAAATAATCTCACACGTGCTCTATTGAGTTAAAGTCTGGTGATTGGGGATGCAGTTGTTTTGGAACATTGTAGAGAAACCATGATTTTACAACATGAGCAGTGTTTCGAATCATAATCTAGTGGAAATATCTAATTATTTCACAACTTTAATATTGTAAGCATGTGATTTCGAATTATATTTTATAACGCTAAATATACATCCAGCGGAAATAAATACCAAAGTCCCCACTACAGCTGCACCCATTGATCCCCAGACCATCACACTTCCACTTCCATGTTTCATCATCGGAATTAAATCTTTTTTCTCTAGTTCTGTATTATTTTTCTCAATATTTTTCCACGCCTATCAGGTCCGAAAATATTAAATTTACTCTCGTCAGTAAATAAAAGTTTGTTCCACAATTGTTCATCTTAATAATATTTGGCGAAGTTCCATCGTAAGTTGGCATCATAGGTCTCAGAAAAATTAAATGAAAAAATTTACGTAAAGGAAATTATACGAATTTCAACATTTTTGTTGTATTTTTTGTTATTATTTAATAGATTAATTACCTTAATTAAGTTTAAAAAACTATAATAAATTATATCGGGTGGACACGGAAAAATCCGGTCAACTTTAAATTGAGATTTCTCTAAAACCATAAATGCTTTTTATTCCAATTTTTTTTTATTATTAAATGTGTTTACACAAATTAGAGTTTCAACTTAATTTTAAGGGGCTTGATGGGTTGCTTGGCAAGAAATCGAACTTTATAGCGGGTTGATGCCATCATTTTACAGATTTTTTCTTTTTTCACCATATTGGTGGTATTAATCCACTTTTTTTGGAAGTCCTTTTTATTATTTGTTAGTCCACCTGTCTTCTGAAGAACTCCTTTAACTATTGCCCAAAAATCTTCAATTTTGCGCTCTTTAGGATGATTTGGAGGATTCGCATCTTTAGGAACAATTTTCACATTATTATCTTTGCACCACTGTAAAACTTTTTTAGAATAGTGAGAGGCAGCAAGATTGGGCCAAAAGAGACATCGGTATTTGTGTTTTTTTATAAAAGACAAAAGTCTTTTTGGAGGCATTCTTTGATGTAGAGATTGGCAGTCAAGGTCTTTTTAGTGACAAAACAAGAGAACTGCATACCACAGCTACAAATTGCTTGCCACAAAAGTAACTTGGATGCAAATTTTTCTCGTCGAATATATTTAAATTGATCATCGACAGGTTTATCTTTGTTTTCATAGTAAAACTGTTGACCAGGAAGTTGTGAAAAATCCGCCTTGCAATACGTTTCGTCGTCTTCAATTATGCACATATTTTTATCCGCCATTATTTTAACCAACTTCTTTGCGCGTCGAATTCCTTTAATTTCACAATTTAAGCTTCTCTTAGGTGTATTTTTTTTATGAAATGCTTTAATTGCAGCATTTTTAAGTACTTTTTTGATATAAGAACGAAAAGTCTTAAATTTTCTTGCTAGATCTCGCTGTGACTGATTTGGATTTCTTGCTATTGAACGTATGTCGACTTTACCTTTTTGGATTTATGGAAAGTTTTTTTTCTTCCACTTCCAAGTTTTCTTTCGAAGCTTTGAGTAGTCTTGAACTTGTTTATAATATCTATGACTGTAGATTTTGGGACATTTGTGCGTTTAGCAACCAAGCAATAGGAAGTCGATGGATTTTTGCAAAAAAAATTCACAACTTTTTTACGCAAAAATATTTTATATAACATTTTGAAGCGAAAAAAAAAGACTTACGGCTAATCTATACAAAAAAAGGAAAGCTATCAGTATTATTTTATAAAATTGTTGGGTGAATTTAGATAACTATATGTGAAATAAGCTTTTAATATTTTAATCTTTCTAAAGTTTTTTTGATATTACCTTCTTTATTAAAGCCTTTCTGAATGTGCTTATACCTTTCTGTAAGTAATTCTGTGCGTACTTTCTTAATTATATTATGTTTATTGTTATAATACTGCTGTTGTTGTGCCTTATGTATAATAAAATTAGTAATTTTCTAATATTATGTTATTTGTTTATCACATTATCTTTAACACAGCGATGACAATCATAATTGTTTGGGTTTTAACATTTAAACTAATAATAGTTATTCCTGCCATAACTAGATTTTTAATTAATTTTTTATTTTTTTCTCTACTTTATTTATCCATTTAATAATAAATTTTTTTATGTAAACACAAGAAAAAGTTCTGTTGTTTTTAATCTTGTAAGAAGTTTTGGGAAGTTTTGAATTGATGGTGTTATACCTACTCTTCCCATGTATCAATTATATTACGGGGCTCAAGTATCTAAATTATACAAACTAATTTTGGACTAAAAGAATTGGACAATACTGTATAATTTAATTAAAACTAAATAAAAACTAAACATTAAAAAATATATATTCATTAACCTATTTAAAGTATTTAAATATAAAACGACTAATATCTTCACTAAACCATGTTAATTAAATTTAATTATATATAAGCTAAATATAAAAAGAACAGCTGCATCACACCATATAAATGTAATTTAAATATAAACAAAAACTAATAATTTCAATTTACCGTACAAAATTAAAATAAACATAAACTAAAAACAAAACAAGTACCATCACTAAACATTTATAGTATACTGTATTAATTTAAACTAAATAGTTAAAGAATAACTATGATAAAACAATTTCAATCATCATCTTATCAGTCTTCTTATTGTTATAAGGAAGGTCTTTGAGTCTGTAATAAATTTCTCACATCCCATCTTGAATCAAATAACTTGATGTCAGACAATGAATATTGTTTTTTATCCTCTTGCTCTACTGTTGCGACTGAAAAATTGATTGTGCATTAAATGAAGACAGAGATGCTAGGGCTATTGCTCTTGACATATCTAAGGCTTTCAAATAAAGTTTAGCATGTTGGTCTTCTCCATAAGCTTGTTTCATATGTTGTATCTAAGAAAGTTTTTGAGATTATCAAATTATTTCTTTTTAAGCGCTTTATTAAAGTCATCCTTGAAGGCCAACACTTTTCTTTCTGATAACTTCTGGGACAAGGTTCTAACTTTGGTCTTATTTTGTTTCTTATCTACATTAATAATATGTTAGACAGCAAAAAAGAATATTAATTGTTAAAATAAAGTTTTAAAGTTTTTGCTAGATACTGGCTATTTTTTTTTTTTTTTTTTTGCCCGACAGCAGCACCTTTTGGAGTAGCAGGATGGTCTTATTATTTTTCTTCTTTATTAAGTTTTAGAGAATAATTTTTTTCAGAACATCCGCAGCCTATTAAGACTTATTACTTAAGCACATTAAAAATATAATTGTCTTGATATATGCGCAAAGAAATTCTGCTGGTGTTTTGATGTTTTAAAAAGTTTAGGCTTTTTTAAAAGTACTTTCTCTTTTGTTTGTTACAGTGTATAATACCTTCACATTTATAACAGTTATATATATAATATCTATAAAACTTCAAAAGTGTTTTATTTTTTAATTTTAGAAAAATAAAAAATAAATAGAATTGAACCACTGTGTTTTGCTTCTGGAACTCTGCAAGCTAACCACTCGGCCACACAGGAGTGTTGTCTGATGAGCATTTTAAAATTATTCAACAAGCAAAAGACTTTATAAAACGAGGGATAAATGCTATAGATAAAAATTAAAGAGATGCAATTCAATTTTTAAGTAAAAGTTAAACTGTAAAACTTGATATATGTTTAAAAATTTCATAATTTAAAGTTTAAATAAATTAGATATTTTGATAAAGTTTTGTTCAGATTTTCTAATTAAAAAGTGCTATGACTCTTTCTTGCCATTACCTCGGTTACAACGGCTGCCAAGAGATCTGTGTCAAACATGAAAGTATGTATGCATACTTTCATATATATATGCATACTTTCATATATATATATATACATATATATATATATATATATATATATATATATATATATATATATATATATATATATATATATATATATATATATATATATATATATATATATATATATATATATATATATATATATATATATATATATATATATATATATATATATATGTAAGTACTTGTGTATATATACATATGTATGTATATACATAAATGTATGTATCTATATATTTACTCATACTTTCTGATAATTATTTGTTTTATAGATATTTTTTAAAGAGTTTTACAACCAACGCAATCAATTATTATGTATATAATATAACGTTACCAGCATTGGTGCTCTCAAAATGATTATAGAATTATAAAAATAATTATACTCAAATATATATATATATATATATATATATATATATATATATATATATATATATATATATATATATATATATATATATATATATATATATATATATATATATATATATATATATATATATATATATATATATATATATATAATACCATTATATATATTTGTATAAACACTACTTATATAGGAGAACTTATAAAATACTCACATTAGTAAATGTTTGAAGAAAAAGTTCAAATAATACTTTAAATTAAAAAAATTAACTTAATAAAAGAATAACAAAATACAAATCAGAAAATACATTTTTACCTTATGTAGATCTTATTAAATGTTCAGTAATTGATAGCTTTGTGATAAAAAGTATTGCAAAAAATATATTTATGACGAATATTCACAAAATTTGATGTGTTATATTTAAACACTTTCAACGTAATTAAGTAAAACCAATCTAAAATCTTTCACTTTTATGCACATAGTAAAATTTATAAACATTTAGCTTAGTCTCGAGCACAATGTAAGCCTATTTGAAATAAGCTTTTACTCTCCTTTTGGCTTACATTTTTAATGACATTCAAAAGTAGGTTGCCGATTTTAATAAAAATCCGGACCAAAATAAAATTTGCGCATGCGTTTTATCGCCTACTTTTAGATGTTATTAAATATCGCTAATCATGTTGTTCATGAAATAATATTTCATGAACAACATGATTAGCGATATTTAATAACATCTAAAAGAACAACATGACTTCTTTAGAGTCGGCATACGACAATAAGTCGTATGCCGACTCTAAAGAAGTAGTGAAGTCTCTTAAAGTTGTTAATGATTGCGCCGAAAGAGGGGTGAAGTTAGTACAAGACTTTAACGCTGTCTTAACAAAAGATGAAGAGCAGCAAAAGTATGTGCTAAATTTAGTTGCAGAAAACAGGGCTGTCTTACCAGATGCAAAAAAATCAACATTGAGTGCTAAACAAACCAGGCGACAATGAGCAGCTGTTGTTGTTTAATGTTGTTTAATAAAAATTCTTATGCGCAATAAGAGCTTTATATTCGTTTTTATTTTATTAAAACCGAACGGTAAATAACCAAAATGTGCACAGAAAACGAAGGTCAATATTTTACTAAACTTTTGAAAATTCCGATTTTAGAGGGGTATAAAGATCGCCCTAGCGCGATCTTTAAATATTAACCGATTTGGCTGATTTTTTTGGTACAATGTTTTTTTTTCATAAATGAACACATTTAGACCTTAGGAATAACAAAAGTTAAAAAAAAACTTTTTTTGGATCACCCTAATATATATATATATATATATATATATATATATATATATATATATATATATATATATATATATATATATATATATATATATATATATATATATATATATATATATATATATATGAAGACCACACGGGTAAAACCACATATGTCCACTTTTTGAAAATTTCAAGTTTTATATATTTTTATGATATTTTAGTATTAACCTATTTTAATTTAAAAATTCATAACAAAAAAACTATGTTTTAAGGTTCTATGGTCATTTAAAAAAAGGGGCAACTTTGAAACAACCACTGTTGTCCAATGTTTACCGCGTAAAAAACAAATTATTTTTAACTAAACCAATGATAATAAAAGCGTAAGTCACATGACTAATTTTTCGGATGAAGTAAACAACATTACGTTCACAGAAAAACATTTAAAAAAACATTTTGATTTTTTAAAATGTTTTTCTGTGAACGTGAATCGAATTTTTTTTATTAAAAGAGGGGGAGGGGGCGGTGGCTTTATTATCCCATCACACACTTAGTACGTTGTAGTTGTAAATTACAATGTGTTACCATCTACCTTAAAAAAAAATAAGTGCTCTAAAAGGTTACAATCTAACGTAATTTACGAGTTGATGAGTTTACAACGGAAAAACAACAGATGTCCAAAATGAGTGTCTTGTTTTCAAAAGTACATTGTGAATAAATTATACTTGTATTTAGCACAAAAACTGCGTTTTTATATTGTATAAGGACTAAAATGTCAGAAAAATATACTTTTAATTAAATAAATTATTAATAAACAGATATCTAAAGTCACTAAACACTAAATTTCATTTTTCTCGAAATGAGAAAAATGTGACATCTGTGGTTTTACCCGTGTGGTCTTCATATATATATATATATATATATATATATATATATATATATATATATATATATATATATATATATATATATATATATATATATATATATATATATATATATATATATATATATATATATATATATATATATATATATATATATATATATATATATATATATATATATATATATGAAGACCACACGGGTAAAACCACAGATGTCACATTTTTCTCATTTCGAGAAAAATGAAATTTAGTGTTTAGTGACTTTAGATATCTGTTTATTAATAATTTATTTAATTAAAAGTATATTTTTCTGACATTTTAGTCCTTATACAATATAAAAACGCAGTTTTTGTGCTAAATACAAGTATAATTTATTCACAATGTACTTTTGAAAACAAGACACTCATTTTGGACATCTGTTGTTTTTCCGTTGTAAACTCATCAACTCGTAAATTACGTTAGATTGTAACCTTTTAGAGCACTTATTTTTTTTTAAAGTAGATGGTAACACATTGTAATTTACAACTACAACGTACTAAGTGTGTGATGGGATAATAAAGCCACCGCCCCCTCCCCCTCTTTTAATAAAAAAAATTCGATTCACGTTCACAGAAAAACATTTTAAAAAATCAAAATGTTTTTTTAAATGTTTTTCTGTGAACGTAATGTTGTTTACTTCATCCGAAAAATTAGTCATGTGACTTACGCTTTTATTATCATTGGTTTAGTTAAAAATAACTTGTTTTTTACGCGGTAAACATTGGACAACAGTGGTTGTTTCAAAGTTGCCCCTTTTTTTAAATGACCATAGAACCTTAAAACATAGTTTTTTTGTTATGATTTTTTAAATTAAAATAGGTTAATACTAAAATATCATAAAAATATATAAAACTTGAAATTTTCAAAAAGTGGACATCTGTGGTTTTACCCGTGTGGTCTTCATATATATATACAGGCCCGGTTTAAGGCGTAGGCGACGTCGGCGACAGCCGACGGCGGCACTTTTCTAGAGCGGCACTTTTTTTAATTTATTTTGTGTTTTCCCAAAAAAAAAAAAAAATTTAATTTTTTTTTTGTAACAAGAAATTATTTTTTTTTTTTTACGGGAACTTTAATACATACTAATTTTTTCAAATAAATAATATAGTAATAAAAGTGTTTGTTTGTATACATGTTGGGATTTGGCGAAGAAGAAACAGTAAAAAAAAGTTTCTTTTTTCTTTTTCAGGGATGGATGTTAGCAAACCGCCAAATATACAAACAAACGAATTCTATTGGTTCATAAAATACGCTGACTAAGCAAATTAAAGTTCCAGAATATTCCTAAGAAACTTCCATAAAAATTTTATTGAAGTTATCTTTGAGATATCTATCGTAAATTGTTATAAAAGTGTATTATTAAACGAACTTTAACTTTGAAAAAAAAAAAAAATTATTATACCCTTTTATAAATTGATTAATATTTGTCTAACAATAATTTTTATAAGTAAGTAGTTAGAGTTAGTTTTTTCGTTTTCTTTTTCATGTATTTGAATAAACTTATTATTAATATTATTATCATTAAATATAAAAATTTAGGTATATGTATCAATGCTATATTTTTTTTAACTTTAAATTCTTTAAACGATACAATATAATGGACCGTGGTAAGAGATAGCGCTTGTCTGGGTCACAATACAAGAAAATTAGGCTTCAACGTGAAGCAAATTCTGCCAAGCAGAAAAATGCTTTGTTGCACTTTTTGAGCAGGTCATCAAGCGAAAAAGCACTGGCACCTATAGTAGCTTCAACTTCAAACCAAAATGAAGTTGAAATTGAAATCGAAAGCGGTGGAGAAATAGAATATGCGGATAGTGTTAGTGTTAATGAATATAGAAATTCTGGAAATGATGATACTGCTAAAGAACCAGAAAATGTTGATGAAGTGGAATTTATCTCCAATTTAAGTGAAGTTGTTGTACAGAACGTCGATGATATAGGTCAAAATGAAAACAATGAAGATCAAAGTGGTGAAGACCCCAAAACCAATAAAGATTTGCCTCTTAATTTTAATGATCCGGCAAAATGGCCTATAATAATGGTAAATTTAAAGCAGTGCTGATGAAGTATGGTCCAATTCAAAAATTGCCGTCTTTATTTCCCGAAGATGAACAAGGTAGAAAATTTTCAAGCTTTCATTTTTATCGCCGAATGTCTAATGGCGATAAAATTAAACGCACTTGGTTGGTGTACTCCATTACGAAAGACACTGTATTTTGCTTTTGCTGTAAGATATTTAGTCCGAATAAATTCTCCCTGTCATCGCATGACGGCTGCCGAGATTGGAAAAATATTTCTGTTATTATTAAACGACATGAAACATAAAGTGGCCACACTACTGCATATCTAAATTGGAGAGATCTGGAGGTGAAACTTAAATCAGGGGCTACGATTGATCACATTATTCAGAAAATAATTCAATCTAAAACTCAACATTGGCGACAAGTTCTTGCAAGAATAATAACGTTAATTAGAACTCTTGCTGGACAAAATCTAGCATTAAGAGGAACATGTGAAAAGCTTTTCGAACCGAATAACGGAAATTTTCTTAAATTTATTAAATTCTTAGGAAATTATGATCCTATTATGAGTAAACATATTCAACGAATAACAACAAGTGAAATTCACACCACCTATCTCGGAAAAACTATTCAAAATGAAATCGTTGAATTGCTTGCTAATAAAATCAAAAATGACATCTTAGCAAAACTAGAGCGAGCAAAGTACTACTCACTTATTTTAGACTGTACCCCCGATATAAGCCACATGGAGCAGATGACAGATGTTTTTAGGTTTGTCAGTGCAACTGAATCATCTTCGGAAAAACCAGCTGAAGTCGTAGTTTCTGAACACTTCGTAACTTTTCTTGAATTACAAGACACAACGGGAGCAAATATGACAAAAGTTGTTATCGATAAGTTGCAGGAATTAGGCGTAAATCTTGATGACATGAGGGGACAAGGGTACGATAATGGAGCCAACATGCGCGGAAAATATAATGGTGTGCAAGCCAGAATTCGTCAACTAAATCCTCGAGCTTTTTTTGTTCCTTGTAGTGCCCACTCGCTCAACTTGGTATTGAACGATGCAGCTAATTGTTGTATGGAGGCTGTCGCATTCTTTGATTTAATTCAAGGCATTTACAACTTTTTCTCAGCATCAACTCACCGTTGGAGTATATTATTAAACCACCTAAGCGATCTGACTATAAAACCGTTAAGTGCCACTCGTTGGGAAAGCAGGGTCGGTGCCGTACGGGCACTTCGATTTCAGATTAGTGGAGTTTACGATGCACTAATTGAAATCGCAGAAGACAATACATTAACTACTGCACCACAAGTCAAGAGTCGCGCAGAGGCTAAGGGAATAGCCAGAAATATTTCAAATTTCAAATTTGTTTGCTCCTTGGTATTATGGTATGACATTTTATTCCAAATTAATATTGTCAGCAAAATGCTCCAATCACAGGCTTTAGACTTGTCGCTTGCTCTAGAGCATTTAAACGCTACCAAATCTTTCCTATGCGATTATCGCTGTGATAAAGAATTTGCCGAAATGGTTGAAAATGCAAAAAATTTGGCAGTTGAACTATAAATTTTTGAAGGATTTGATGTGGATGATCCCGTACGCGTACGCAGAAAGAGTAGACAATTCCTATACGAAGGTCGTGATGAACCAATAGTATCACCAGAACAAAACTTCAGAGTATCTTTTTTCAATCGAATATTGGACATCGCAATTCAAGCAATAAATGAAAGATTTACGCAATTATCGGAATATAACGAGTTATTTGGGTTTCTTTACAATATCGGCAGCAAACCCTTAACGGATGATGAGTTATTGAAACACTGTAAGGACTTGCATTTAGCGCTTATGTCTGATGGCCAATCTGATATCAACGGGGTCGAACTTTGGTATGAAATTAAAGCTATTGGGAGACAATTTGATACTTCCAATAGCGATCCAAAAAGTGTATTAAAATGTATTTACACATCTAATGTTGTCGAAGTATTCCCAAACCTTTCGATAGCTCTTCGCATACTACTAACGTTACCAGTCACAGTTGCTAGTGCTGAAAGAAGCTTTTCAAAGCTGAAAATAATAAAATCCTATTTGAGATCACAAATGTGTCAAGATCGTTTAGTTGGTCTAGCTACGATTTCCATCGAGAAAGAAATTGCTGATCATTTGGAAATAGAAGATTTGGTTAAAGATTTCGCAGAATTAAAAGCTAGGAAAATTCACTTTTAATTACGATTTGTTTTTTATTTTTTCATGAATGGAATTTGTTTTGTTTTTTATTTTTGTATAAATTGAGTTTTTTTATTTTCTATATTAAAGTTTGATTTTCAGTGTTTTTCTATTTTCCTTCAAATTGAAAATTATTGCATTTTTAATTTTTGCGGCGGCAAATTTGCATCTCGCCTACACATAGAAAACTGTTAAAACCGGGCCTGTATATATATATATATATATATATATATATATATATATATATATATATATATATATATATATATATATATATATATATATATATATATATATATATATATATATATATATATATATATATATATATATATATATATATATATATATATATATATATATATATATATATATACATATACACATGTATGTATATATACGCATGTGTATATATATACACATGTAAATATATATATATATATATATATATATATATATATATATATATATATATGTATGTATGTATGTATGTATGTATGTATGTATGTATGTATGTATGTATGTATGTATGTATGTATGTATGTATATATATATATTTATATATATGTATATATATATATATATATATATATATATATATATATATATATATATATATATATATATATATATATATATCCAATACTGTATATACACATATATACATGTATATATGTGTATATACGGGATTGGACAAAACATTTGCAACCAACATCGAACAATGCTAGTTGTTCCTAATTTTATGTCTTAAAAATGAAACGAACTATACTACCACAGCAAACAGTTCAGGAGTCTGGAGTCATAGCATGCCATGATATGAGCAATCAGCTGACAGGTGACAGCACATAGGCAGAATTTCGTTGACAAGTGCCATTTTGCAGCATACAAAACAAGTGCAACTTTTTGGGTTTGTTTCATTTTCTCAAGTCTGGTCCATATCAACGTCACGGAAGTTTTTTAATAATTAAAGGAAATATCCAGAAGTTTCCAGAAGCATGCAGAAGCTTCTAGAAGTTTCCAGAAGAAGCATCAGGAAGCAATTGGAAGCATCCAGAAGTATCCAGAAACATTCAGAAGCATTCAGACGCATCCAGAAGCTTCCAGAAGTATTGAAAAGAAGCATCTAGAATCTTCCAGAACAGTTTCACACAGGTTCATTTTTGAACCTGTGTGAAACTGTTCTGGAAGACAGTCTTGGATTGGAACTAAGAGAGAAAATTATTTGCGATTAATTAAGTGGAATGTCACAAAAAAATATTTGTGATAATTATCGCGTGAAAAAATAAATCGTATCAAGACTATGTTGCAAATATTGTTCCACAGGCAGTTGGCAGCAGATAACAATGGTGGAAGATCTCATTCCACCACTTCTAGAGAGAATTCTATGATCGTCAGATCTGTCAAGAAGTATCCCTGGATATCATCAGATGAGATACAAAAGCAATTAGAGCTGCCTGTATGTCAAGCAGCCGGAAAACTGCTTGATTTACGTTACTGCCATAAGACCGGGAGGCATGGTGGAGGCAATGTAATGGTCTGGGGGTGTTTTTCTGCTAACGGTCTAGGTCCAATACATCGAATCGATGGAATAATGGACAGTTTTATGTATAAAAATATCCTGAAAGATGTTATGTTACATCATGCTGAATGGAATATACCAATAAAATGGGTTTTTCAGCAAGACAACGATCCCAAACACACTGCAAATGTAGTCAAGCAGTGATTTCAAGACAACCATCTATTGGTGATGGATTGGCTGCCTCAATCTCCGGATCTCAACCCTGTCGAGAACCTGTGGGAGATCGTTAACCTCAGAGTTAATCATGAATGTGTTCTTAATAAGGATGAACTGTTTGAACAAATCCAAAAGGCCTAGGCAGCGATTCCACAAAGTTTCATTGTTAACCTGATCGAATCTATGCCTTAAAGATGCAAGGCTGTGATCGACAACAAAGGATTCACCACAAAATATTGATAGCAAAATACAGCTTGGTCAACATTTTGTGGAGTTGCACTTGTTTTGTCCAGAAGGAAATCAATTTTTTTAAATACTTTTGATTAATTTATTAATTTTCGTGTACAAATAATGAACTTTGTGATGAATAAAATTTGAAGAACGTTGTTTCTAAACAGTTACATAGTTATTTCTCTAAATTGAAAAAATGCAGCACTTTTATACAAAGAAACTAAATTAGCATCATTTGGTTGCACTTGTTTTGTCCGATATTGTATATATATATATATATATATATATATATATATATATATATATATATATATATATATATATATATATATATATATAATATATATATATATTATATATATATATATATATTATTTCATAAAAATAGATTCAGAATTCTTGTTTAATTTAAATGTCTTTTAAAGTCATTTAAATGTCATTAATGTATATATTTTAGATATCGGCGACGTGGAAGAAAATGTTGACGGCAATAAAGAAATATAGTTTCTTATGTATATTTTTGTGAAATAAAAATTAAGTAATGTTAGTTAAAATGTTTCTTTACTTATTTAATTTAATCCTTTTTTATGACTAATTTAACCGCTGTAATACCTTTGTATCAAACAAGTCCCAGCAAACAAAAAGATATCTAAAATGCATCTAATATGCATCTAAAAACTGGTCTAAAAGACGTCTAAATTCACGTCGTGAACGGGACATAAATAGATGTCTATCTTATAGATGTCTTTTAGATGCATTTTATTCGACACAAATAAATGCCTTAGATGACTAAAAGATGTGAAATATAAATTTAAAGATGTATAGTAGATATATATTAGATGCATAAAAGAGCTATTATTAGCTAAAAAATTATCTATTATCTATCTTTTTTAAACGCGCCTTAGATATCTATTTAAGAGACGTATTTTATACATCTAATATGCATCTGTAAGATGTATATTTCACATCTTTTATGCATCTAAGGCAATTATTTGAGTCGAATAAAATGCATCTAAAAGACGTCTATAAGATAGATGTCTATTTATGTCCCGTTCTAGACCTGAATTTAGACATCTTTTAGACCAGTTTTTAGATGCATATTAGATGCATTTTAGATATTTTTTTGTTTGCTGGGTATGTGCTGTCCACATTAATTCCAGTTTCATCCAAATAAATTAGTTTTTAACTTGAAATTCCGTTTATTTCGCTTGCAAATGCATAGCGTGCATTAATAACCGGTGTTGAGTTTCGTTCTTCGGCACATGCACAACACGTTTTCTTGATAAATCTGAGCGTTTGAGTTTTCTTGAAATAGTAGACTAAGACATGTTGAAGCCTGCTGCAGAATGATATTTTTTTATTGCTTCTTGCGTGCAAAGATTGTTTTCTTGTACGCATAATTCGATAATATTTTTTATTTGAGAGTTAATAGGTCTTTTACCTCGTTTTTTATCAGAAAACGACTTGAATGCAGTCATGTCGTCGAGTTCTCCTCTGTTTAACTTAACGACAAAATTTTGAACTGCGCGCTTTGATAAATTAAGAGAAATGGAAATGCTTGTTGTAGATTGATTTCTTTTAATTAAATGCTTAAGCATTTCAATGTGCTCTTTTGTAACATTTTCCTTTGTTTTACGATTGGTACTGCTATTTTCTATTCCATCCATAGGGATGTATAATTTGATATTAATAATAATTATAAATAATTAAATTTAAATCTAAATAAATGAATATTTAGATAAATAATAACTTATTCAATCAAGAAATTTAATTATAAAATTACAAAGAACTAATACTAAATTAAATAAACTATCATCGAAAAGAAAGAACTAATACTAAATTAAATAAACCATCGTCGAATGTAAATCGTTTTAAGTATTTTTAACCTCGTTTACCTGGAAATAAGAAAAATTTGTTTTGAAAAATTAAACTGTTTTTTCAAAACAAATTGCTTAAATGATTTTTTTTTGTTTAAATTGCTTTTTTACAATTGCTTTTGTGAAACGCATATAAGAATGAATAAACGCGCATATAAAAATGAATAAATGCGCATATAAAAATAAATAAATGCGCATATAAAAATTAGAAATGTGCCGGAACCAGTTTATGCCGAGTCTCCGATTCTGGGTACCCGGCTGAAAAAACCGGGTCCGAGTCCGGGTACCCGGCACCGAGTCCATTTTTAAAAAGTTGGAATAAAAACTTGTCAAAATTATTTAACAGAATAAAAAGAAGCTATTTTAAAACTTTTTTTCCCATTTTTTTTATTCGTATTCTTGACTTATTTCATTTAGCGTTACAGTTTTTGTATCCGTATAAATTTTTTTGCAGAAATGTATTAACAAATATTTTAAGTGAGATTATTTTAAGTTAACAGAACTTTGTGGTTATTGACTACATAACACTCTTAGACTTATATCAAGAAGTTTAATGGCTAAAGTTTAAACTAAAGGAAAAATCAGTTTGAAGATACCCGGTACCGGGTACTGCAACAAAATGGCCGATACCGAGTACCCGGTAAAACAGCCGAATTGCCGGATCTCCGGGTCCGAACCGGGTACCCGGCACATCACTAATAAAAATAAATAAAGGCGCATATAAAAATGAATAAATGCGCATAAAAGAATGAATAAAGGCGCATAAAAAAATGAATAGACGCGCATATAAGAATGAATAACCCTGTAAGCAACTAAAGTTGAAAGAAATCAATCTACAACAAACATTTTCACTTCTCTTAATTTATTGAAGCGCACAGTTCAAAATCTTGTCGTTAAGTTAAACAGAGGAGAATTCGACGACATGAATGCATTCAAGTCGTCTTCTGGTAAAAAACGAGGTGAAAGACCTATAAAACGCTCAAATAAAAAATATTATCGAATTATGCGTACAAGAAAACAATCTTTGCACGCAAGAAGCAATAAAAGAAAATCTTTCTGCAGCAGGCTTCAACATGTCTCAGTCTACTATTTCAAGAAAACTCAAACGCTCAGATTTATCAAGAAAACGTGTTGTGCATGTGCCAGAAGAACAAAAT